CGAGTGGGGAAGTGGTAAGCTATTGGCAACGGAAGAAATGCATCCATGTCTAACAACAAAGCATAGGAAGAGAAATTGAGAATCATACCTGGAAGGGGAAAGCGGCAACGCAATGCTCCTCACACAGACATGGTCACACGGAATGGCTGCCCTCATTTAGCCATCATACATCAGCCCCTAGCCGACATGAGGTTGCAGATTTGAGCTTGTACCAAGATCAGGGGTAACTAGTACGATTAACTGCGAGCGGAGAAGTGGAAGACCGTTGGTGATGGAAGCTGCGTACTCATGTCGAAGAACCGAGCACAGGAAGAGGGAGGGAGAACCATACCTGGAATGGGGAAGCGTTGCAATGCTTAGGCGGCGGTTGCAAGCTTGAGAGCGTGTACCCAGAGTGACTGCTGTTCAGAGTAGATTAGTGAGGGACACCATGTGAGCTTCAAAGATGGCAGAGCTCTCCCAGCCTCAGCAATGGTGTGAAGGGTGTGAAGTGTGGACAGCGAACAAAAAGGAGAAGGGAGGGGGGAGACCGGTGAAGTCAGTTAAACAAATGGCAGAAACAGGGCAGGAACCCCACGGCAATGTACCAGGCAATCAATCATCTGATGGCTTATTAGGTTGGACCCAGTCGTGTGCGATATGTGCACACTACGATCAGCATGCGGATTATGCAAGGGGGATACTACAAGGATGTGGTCTCATCAACCACTTTGGAGTTAGAGAAACCTATAATACACCGAAAAATAATGAGCAGACACGCACCTCAACTGTTAAATAGTGCAGCCAGACAAGTAGACGATGGGGCTTCGTAGCTGTTGCATGGCTGGTTTGGAACACATAGTGCTGTAGATAAGCAAAGAATTAGCCAGTAGAATACCTGGCATTAGCCATTAGGAGGCTGTGAAGTGGAATCTGTGGACAGCGATGGTAAGCTGTGAAATGGTACACATGGTGCTGACTGCTGACGGGTCGTCTGGCACACGACCACAGTCCACACGCCGTGGGTTCAGACCAGCGTTCTGAGGAATTCCGCGTTCAGAACCAAAAGCCACCTTGAATCCTTGAATTAGTCATCATCGCAGATAACCATAAACGTACCATCATCCACTTGACTCCAGCAAAGTCGCCGCTCCGAGTCCGAGACCTCCCTGGCGCCTTGAGCGTCGCCATCTTTTGACATTTTCGCTGCGCGTCCGAGCGGCACTCCGTGGAGCGGCCAGCGCCGCTCGTCTCTTGGCTCTTCTCCGGCCATCAACGCACGGCAATAAATGGCCAACGGTGAAGGGTTCCACCACCGGGGAACTGGCCACGGTAGCTAGGTACAGCTAGCAACACTGGCGCACTTGCTGGTTGCTAGTACGGTCGGCTCCGCTGCCGGAGCCCCGCTGGCCGCTGAGGCATTTGTTCGAACACCAAACGGGCAATGCTGGGGCGAGCAGAGCCGGGCGGGGCCAACCGCAGCCAGGGCCTAGAGCATCGTTCGGCAACAGACCTAGAGAGCAGCAGCAGCGTGCATTGATCCCGTCCCGTCCGACTGGCGCTCGGGGGCCCCGTCGACATCGACAGGGCCATTCCAACCCCCCTCCGGCCATCCATCCCCCCGGATGGCCGTCTCTCCTGGACTAGTCATTCGCGCAGACGTCACACGCAATTGAAGGGATGACGTCAAGCCTCAAGTGAACAACTTGTCACAGCCTCCACCACCCACCAGGGCTCATCGTTACTTTGTCACTTATTATTACCCTCTTGTCACGGTATTTCTCCCTGGCCTCACTTTTCAGTGCGCCGCTCGTAAACAAAGACCCTATAGTGATGTGTTTTTCTCACTGATGAAAAGTACAGAAATCTGCACACCGAGCACAACAACCCACCGCGATCTGCCGAGTAGAAAAACTGTCAAAATGAACCAACTACTCCCTGTCGGATCGAACATGCCAACTTTCAGAAACCGATCAAGTCTGTTCTCTTCTAGAGCAGGCCGGTCTCGTGGTTTTCCTCAGCTAGGACCGACCGCGGCGCGCGCACACACTCTACTGAGTCGTGATGCCTCTACGACTGTAGACACGAAACCAGTGAGGCAACCAACGGTGATGCCTCTACTCAGGTTAGTATGATAGGAGAGACCAATAAAAACGTACAACTACTCAAGATGACGTCAAACCGTTGACTAGAAGGGGCAATCAACTACTCTCTAAGGTGGCTGATTTGATTGACCCAACCACAGGCCAATGGGATATACAACTAGTTGAGTAGACTTTTTGGCATGTGGATGTGTTTCGTATACTCTCTATCCTGCTACCATCATATGATACGGCAGATTTTGTGGCTTGTAACTTGACAAAAACTGGAGCTTTCTCGGTTAGGTCGGCTTAATATGCGGTCTGGAAGGATAAATATGGATCAAGGGCTACAACAGATCGTCCTAGTGCGGCGAATATAAATTCAATATGGGATGTTGTGTGGAAATTGGGTTGCCCAACGAAGGTTAAATTTTTTCTTTTGAGAGCTCTTCATGGCACCCTGCCATGCCGTGTAACCCTAGCTGATAGACATATGAAGGTAAATACAAAATGCCCAGCATGCGAGTTGCCTGAGAATGTTAAACATATGCTTTTCCAATGTTAGAAAGCAAGACAGGTATGGTTGGGTTTGGGGTTGGAAGATGTCATTGAGTGAGCTTGTAAAGTGGATCATGCGGGCGAGGCGGTGCTTGAATATCTCCTTCGTCTTCCTGCAAACGAAACATGTGTCCTCGGGCAAGGTAGATCAGACCAGCTGATTGCTGTTGCGACCTGGTATTTATGGTGGGAAAGAAGAAAGATGTGCATGGCGAGCAAATGCAACAACCTGCACAAAAGTTTATGCTATCCAAGCTCTGACAGAAAATTTTTCAGTAGCCTATCAGCCTACGGCAAAGGTGAAAAGGATTCTATGGACTCGCCTTAGTGCTGGCTTTGTAAAACTTAACGTGGATGCTGCTTACGACAGTGATTCACTCCAAGCCACTGTGGGTGCTGTATTACGTGACAGTTCAGGGAAGTTCTTGGCCGCAGGGAATAATGTTGTAGGGGATTGTGTGGATGCTCTTATGGCTGAAGCTACTGCTCTTCGCTTTGGTCTGAATCTTGCCCAGTTATTCGGATGCTCCAGGTTAATCATAAATTCTGATAATTTTGATGTGATCGCTGCAATGCAAGATGATGGTACTTTCTCAGAATTGGCTGTTGCTATTTTCGACGATTGTTATCACATGGCTCACAATTTATCACAAGTCCATTACGAGCACTGTCATAGAGAAGGAAATTTTGTAGCGCATAAACTGGCGAGGCTTACTAGATTTTCTCCACCTGGTACTTGGTTTGATGAGGCACCTAGTGCCATTGCCTCTATGCTTGTAAATGATGCTACTTTGATTACCACTTAATAAAGGGTTTTGAATTTAAAAAAAAACGTTGAATCGAAAAACGTTCAACAGGAATGGCCCGACTCTCTGGTTCAACACTCGTGGTGACTCTGAGTTAGGTCAGAATTTTGCACTTTGGGCGAGAATTGGAGGTGTCTTGCTTACGCGCTCCCAGCTCCAGCGACGTGTCTTGCATATTGCGTCGATGCCAAGGGTACACGATGACGTGTTCGCGTGCAACTTTGATTCAGATTCAACTTAACCTTTTGGCAATAGATTAGTGCAAGGCTTGCAGAGTGATTGTCCCGCTGATAGATGCTGTTGGATCACAGATTCAACTTACTCCTGAATTTATTTATTGAATCCACTTTAACTGCATTACTCATAGAGTACACAATTCCTGAATTTCCCTCACCCTTCCCTAGTCATACAAGCTCCCCTTGAATTGGATCGACTGCCAACCCAACCATAATCAAATCCACCTCAAGCCTTTCTAGTGATGCTTCTCTGCCTGGATTAAGTGCAGAACAACGATAGGCGCAAAATGGAGGGAGTATTAAGTGCTCAATTGCTCACATATTAAACCCAAGCAACTGCATATTAAATGGGCCCAACATGCATGATGCAGCAGCTTCCAGTGAAGCAGTGGTAACAGTGGATCAAGACATACTCAGAGGGTATAGAGATCTAAACGCTTTTATATTTATTTACGGAGGGAGTATATGACAACAATGTTACTTGCATGAACTATCAGCAATGCCCTAAAGCTGCAGGCAGGCAAAATTTTGGGTGTCTGAAAAAAGTTGCTGTTACCAAATCTAAAAGCAGTTGCTTGGCAAAACTAAAAATAATAATATCTAAAAGCAGTTGCTGTTACCAAATTATGCATTTAGGTGTATGAACTGCTTCCACAACAACGGCAGTAGCACGCCATGTACACAATACAGATCCCGCAATTCCCCTTCCAGTGTTAAATTTTTGGGGAACATTTCATCTCCTAAGACAACTTCAGTACAGTCTAAATAAAGAAGGGTTACTTCATAATGTTACAAGGAATTGCAAAGCCTTGGTGTTGCCAGTATGTACTACTCTACTCCCTTTACGCACTAATAATATCAGAGAAGCGAAAAACATTGGCTGACGCTACAAAATAAGCCTGGTAGTCAAAGTTGTTTTAGATGAGAATATGGGATCATCCCACAAATGGATGAACAAAACAGCTCAAGCTGATGTTAGAAGAATATAAAGTGCAAGAATACTGAAGCCAGAAAGATGGAAGGCCACCTGCGGCTAATGTGGTACCATCTTTCATAGCGAATACAGCTCCAAATTCTCGCTCGTTACATGACTATAATGAAGACAATCATCAGTTCCTGCTTGTAGCTCCATTACATGATGATGTACCCAATATGCAGTTTTAGGCTCGAGCTCAAATTTCAAGTATGTTAAAATAATTACCGAGAACTGCAACAGGCAGCAACACCAGTGTTCAGGTCAAAACATGAAGAAAAATGCTAAAAGGAGACACACAAATTGTTTGCAGATAATATAGAAATATAGATTCTTAGATGAACAGGGTTCTTGTAAAAAGGGAGCATCAAACTTCAGGTCGTGCTGGTGTGTTTGCTCCTGAAACAGGTTCAGGACGTCTTGGGGAGTTAATCCCATTTCCCTCTCTTGGCTTCCGACATTTTGCAATTGCACTTGTCACAATAATTAGGAGCAGCAGGATTACTACAACGCCGCCAACTAGTGCATAGACATACACTGAAGTCCTCAATTTGCGGCAGCTTCCCGCAGCAAAAGCTGTCATCAGAGCCAACATATCCAGTATCATGATCAAGTGCAATATTCCAAGTGGCACAGCCTTCCTGATAGATTTACTCAGCAGAAGCATGATCACCACAATGGATGCCATGAATGCGAAAGAATTGAACCAGAAGAAGATCTTGTACCGTCGGTGATTAATATCACGAAGCACGGGATTGCCTGGTACATGGCCCTCATCATCAGACCAGAATCCACCAGGTGGGTTCAGACCAGCTTGGTATGCGATCGATGCTGCTAAAATTGCAAGAAGCATCAGATACTTGTGTCTCTTTTTAACTTTTTTTTCTTCGACAACTGAAGCTACTGGCCTCACGGGAGTGATTACTCGTTCACCCTCCGCATGAAAGAGAAGATCGTGTAGAAATACTAGACACTTAGCCAATGGTCTTCCTAGTGTGCCATGCATTGAAGAGAGCAGAACTTGAATCAGAAGTGACACTAGAACTGCCATAGCAATGATGCTCAGATATATGGACTGTTTAATATTTCTGCAACTTCCTGCAACATAGGCAATGAGGAGGCCAAGCAAGCCCGCCACCAAACACACTCGCAGTGCATAGGACTTGATTCCATACTCACAGGATTCCTTATTCACAAGTAATATTGTGACGACCACGGACGACACAAATGAAACTGAATTTGAGTAGTAGAACACATCATAGCGTTTTGGATGGGTATCATGAAGGATTGGATTGCCCGGAGTTCCCGTGGCATCCTTGTCATCAGACCAGACACCTCCTGGAGGGTTCATGCCAGCTTGGTATGTGACAGTCACAGCCAAAATAGCAATGGTCAATAGCAGATTACGCCGCCTTCCCAACTCCTTCTCACTAGTATCACCCCCAGTCTGGTTGTCGCCTGATTGACGCGGCACTGAGCAAAAATGACTAACTGAGTGCTTTAGCATCTCTGCCACCTGCCTTCTCCATTCTGGAGGAATTATATGTACTGCTATCAAGACATGAATGAGAACATAAGCAAGTACACTGCATATGAGCGCTGATATGAAAATAGTCTTCTTTGCCTCCCTGCAGTTCCCCACAGCAAAAGCTCCGGTTAGGGAAAGTAGGACCACTATCATCGTTATTGGCAATGCACGCCGTTTGGTGACCTTGTTGCTCACCATCTTGTTCAAGAGCAAAGTGATCATGACAATGGATGCCACAAAGGCGATTGCATTGAGATAGAAGAATGCAATGAACCAGCGATGATGGGTGTCCTCAAGGATGCGATCAGCAGCTGAATGATGATCTTTACTTATTGACCAAAAGCCACCTGGTGGATTCAGGCCTGATTGGTATGCCAGAGATACTGCAAGAATGGCAAGAAGCAGCATACATGTGCGGGTCTTCTTCAGATGCTTCTCAGTTCGAATGTCATCAGCATTTTGATTGGGTACTTGATTGCTGTCAATATGTACATTCTCAGAATGTATAGGATGGTCATCACTGCAAAGAATCTCAGTACTAGGGTTATTATCTCCAACCAGATTGTTTTGTTCAGCAGAGTCCGCACTGCCAGTGGCTTCCACAGGTGCAGAGAGCCCTTCATCCACTATGTCACTACTAGTGTCTCCATCACTCTGCCTGACTGACATATTTTGCTCAACTGAAAGAGCAGTCATGTCAGGATCATCAGGTGAAGATTGCTTCCCCATACTTGCAACTTTCTGGTTAGCTGACATACCGCACATGCTATTTTCAGTTTGCTGGTGGCTTAGTAATGGGTACTCCATGTTAGACACAACATCCTTGACATGTTCTGGTCGTTGACAGTTCCCTGCAGGATGCTGTGAGCTGGACACGTCCTCCTCTATGTTTGCAACACACTGGACATCTGGAGACTGGCACTCCGGGTTGGACACAACGTCCTGAATATTTGTTGATTGCTGGCTGTTCCCTGATGGATGCTGTGTGTTAGGCACAGCCTCTTGAACATCTGAAATTTGACTTTTTTCTGCAGGTACATGCAACTCATGGAATTCACCCTGTCTGATATTTGAATGTTGCTCAGGGGTATTAACTTCTGCAGGTGCATCAGTTGAACAGGCTGGAGATTGATGATTCCTTGCCACAGAATTCCCCTGCTCTGCATTGATCGATCTGTGGTCACGAAAGTTCAACGAAAGTGCACGGCCCCATTTTTTCACATAACACAGGCTGCTTGATTTGACCTTTCGTAGCCAATTTGCTACAGGTCCCTGAACAAAGAATCCAACTAAAACTGCGAAGGATATCCAAACTATGAAGAAAATAGACACCACAAAGAATGATGTTGCTACCTCTCTACAGCATCCTGCAGCATACGCAGCAATTAGGCACAGTAGGTCCACTACCACACATACAATCACTGCTTTGGTCCTTATTCCATGTCCGCTCAGTTTTGGGCTCAGAATCAGTATGATTATGACCAAAGATGCCACGAAGGAAGTTGAATTGGAAATGATGAATATATTATAACGACCAAGGTAGTTAGTCCGGAGAACAGAAGTACCCGGATGATGCTTGTAAGGAGGAAAGGCCATATGCACCTTATTAGAACCATGGTCATTTTCAGCCCAAAAGCCGCCCGGTGGATTCAATCCTGCTTGGTATGTGATAGTAGCAGCAAAAATTACAAGCGTCAAAATGAACTTGCGAGCCTCCTCAACGGCTTTCTCTAGAGGGATGCTCTCTTGCCTGCCAAGGGAACTCCGTTGGTTTAGAACACTATTTATCATTGTCTGCAGATTCTGTTTCAATTCTCTTGGAATAAACCTTGTGGATACTAGGGTATGGATCCCAACATATATGATAACAGCAAGGACTAGAACCAAGATGTAAATGGATGACTTGAGTGTCCTGCAACTTCCAGCAGCATAAGCCCCCAGCAGGCTGAATAGGTCCAGTGTCATGGTCAATTGCATTGAATGGAGCCACATCCTCTGATTTGTCACACTCTTGCTGAGAAGCAAGATGATTAAGACAAGAGATGCAGCGAAGGCTGCTGCATTGCAGTAAAAGAACACCTCATATCGTCCAGAAAAGCCATCATGCATGACAGGGTCACCAGCATCATGGCCATCCTTGTTTAGTGTCCACGATCCCCCTGGTGGTGTTAATCCAGCATTGTATGTCACACCAACTGCTAGGACTCCAAGCAGTACCAAATATTTACGATATCCCCACAAGAGCTCAAAAGCATCATTGATCCTGGAGCTGGATTCATGGCCAGGGGGTAATAAATTTCCGCTGGGTACGACATTGGGTGTTTCACTGTCTGCCATGTGGTTGCTCTCTGACTGAAATTGCAAGTCTCAGGCTTTCAGTTGCTTTCTATTCCTCCATCTGGAGCATCGGGTAACAGTTTCTTGGATGGAGAAGATATCTGAAGGATTCAAAGATAATTCAAGGATGATTCTGAACAAGAAAAGGCAAAGAAGGTTGCTAGGAAGATGGACTTGGTGAAGTCTGTGTCCCAAAAGAAAACAACACAAAAGAGAGCGCGTCAAAGGCTAACTTGCCTGCTAGACCCCAACAATATGAATTATTTTTTCAAACTGTGACCACCATACGAATTATTAGCTCATGTTCACAGACTTCTCCAGAAAAAAAAAGGTAGTTAATGTTGTACTAAGTTGGCCCCAATCAACTATCAGAGTCTATACTGGGTTGGTGTTAAAAGACGAAAGCAGATTATCAGTTTATTAAAATCTTAAAAGGATCAACCCCGTTGTATATACTGTAACTAGATGAATTTCCTGTGTCTACATATTACAATACATATGTTCTTTTTTGAGCATAGAGTTCTATTGGTTATACAATTTTAGTGTTTATAGTTGGAAATTAATTGTGTTTCTCATCCAACAACAAGCTATCCATGTGCCAGAGCCATGAGTTGGTTGCGAGATCTTATGGGTTTCACCTCTAGCCTACCCCGACTTGTTTGGGACTAAAGGCTTTGTTGTTGTTGTATCCAACAACAACATCATATACATGATTGAACTTTACTGTCATAATCCGACCCCACCAAAATAAGTGATCTGGATATTTCCCTTTGTTTTTCTTCCAACTGCTATTACCACAAAACACACATAAGACAAGTAGTAATACTTGTTGGTGGAGACACTAACAGATTCTACAGGGTAACTAGTAAAATTAATTGCATTCAATGGTAAGTTACACGCATTTAAGAGAAAGTAAAATACTATACCTGGCATGGAAAGCATTGCAATGCTCAGTCACACGGGAAGGCTGCCCTCATTAGCCATAAACGGTTGCAAGTGAGCTTGTATCCAGAGCGATAACCAAAATAGTGGTCCAGATATTTCCCTTTGTTTTCTCTGAATACATGGATCTGACTGCTGTCACAAAAAAAAAAACACATATAAATAGGTGTTAGTTTGTTGGAGAACTAGCAGCTGCTTGTTTTTTTCTAGATAATGCCAGATTATGTTTGGTAACTAGTAAGACTAACTGCAAATAGGGAGGTTCAATAGGCGATGGAAATAATCAGTGGCGGACTTAAGATTGTAGTGTTGGGGGGGTGTCACACATTTCATCTGTAATGTATGAACAACATAACTTTAACACATCCGTTCAAATTTTGTGAAAAATACACTAGAAATTCTATAATTAATCTGGATATCATCATAAATTTAAAAAACAGTCACAAGACATGATTTAAAATTTAAAAACCTACTATTAAGTATATATAAGATAAATTACTTTACATTTTACTGAGGGGCTGCCATGACACCCATGGAACCCCCATTAGATCTGCCCCTGGAAACAATGCATCCATGTCTAAGAACCGAGCACAGGAAGAGAAACTGAGAATCGTACCTGAAAGGGGAAAGCGGCGATGCAATGCTCCTCACATAGACACAGTCACACGGAATGAGCTACGCGCCTAGCCGAGGTTGCAGGTTTGAGCATGTACCCAGATCAGGGTAACTAGTAAGACTAACTGCAAGCGGAGAAATGACAGAAAATTGGCAATGGAACTTATGTATCCATGTCGAAGAGCCGAGCAGAGGAAGAGAGGGTGAGAATCGTACCTGAAATGGGGAAGCTTCGCAATGCTCAGTTGCTCGCTTGGAATGGCTGCCCTGTTAGCCTAGCTGAGGCTGCGGCTTTGAGCTTGTATCCAGAGCGACGGCTGCTGCTCAGACTAGTGAGGGACACCTTGTGTGCTTCAAAGACAGCCAGCATCAATAATGTGTGTGAATGGTGG